GGCCTGGGCTGGAGGGGATCTTAGGGATCATCGAGTTCTGCCTGCCCTGCTGTGGGTTTKCAGCACAGGTTGGTCCCTGTGCATTCAATCTCTCAGAGATTGTCAGAGGATGTCTCTGTCAGAAGTGAATCACTCCACAATGCTCAAAGTGCTTCATTAAGCCACTGAAACATATAAATGTGCAATGATTTCATTGTCTTATTGCTGCATTCCTCCTGACATCAAAAAGTCATCCCTGCTTGCCTGGGTGGCTGTTTAAGTGGAAGTCTGGGTTTCACAAAGTTTATTTTGTCTTTTCCTCTTGCAAAGCTGTCAGTGCTTTCTACAAAACATTTTCAGGATTTGCCTTCTCTCCTGAAGACAGTGGGGGTGTGCACATCACTGCCAGACCATTTCCCAGGAGCTGCACCCCGCACAGCAGAGTTAGTCTGCTTCCTCTTTTACCTGTTATTCATAATGGCCAGTGAGGAAAAGATGGAAAAAACAATCAGAAGTGACAAAAGGTTGCTGTTAGTTCATCAGACTTACAAGCAGATTGCAAAGGAAGATGACCAAAGCCATGAACAATAGTGAAAAATTTTCTAGTGAAAAGTAAATCTGAATATTAGGATAATACTTCCTGGCTTTAACATCCCACAAGAACAAATTATGATGTGCTACTTCTTGGAAACAATACATTATTAATATATTATTTCTTCATTTTAGCCTCATTTGGAAGCCCTGTTGGCACCTGATGGCTGTGGAGCTTTCTCAGTGGTAATATCCTTTTGCTAATGAGCTTTTGGAGGCCTTTTGTGGTCTGTCCCTGCTCAATATCAACAGTGGGTTATCAGCAGAGGCAGACCCAGCTCAGTGGAGCAGGCAGGATGTCAAATCCTTGGATGGCACGGATGTCAAACCCTTGGATGCCACGGAGCCATCTCTGTCTGACAGTCTGCASTTTGCTCACAGGCTCCATTTCTTATTTCCCAAGAGCATTGTGGTTCCTACCCCAGGCAATGGTGACATTAATGCTTCCATTAATACTCAATAGTTGCACTCTTGCCAAAGTGGCTCCTCACTTTGAGCAAAGGAGAGCAGGGGACAGCAGCACAAACAGAGGGTTTGTAGCAATAAATGCTCTGCATATGAAGAGCTGAAATTGTAAGAAGGAATAAAGCAGGGCTGGGGAGGCCCTTTTTCCTTTTTCCTGTCCAAATTGGGGTCTGATGCAGTCCATGTTGTCAGACATGCTCCAGGATTCCTGCAGCRACCATCCAAGGGCTGATTTCATGGTGATGAGAGTGGAAGTGGCACCAGACACAGCATTAACAGAGCAGGGATCCCCTCCAGCGGGGCACACGCTGCTTTGGAGAGCACTGATGTGGATAAATGTGAATAATCTGGGTGTGTTTAATATGTAGGATCTGCCAATATGCATTAGGGCTCATCCAGATGAGAGGAGCCCACAGSAGACTGCAGCAAACTGCCCTGAGCTCATGGGCTCCTGTCTCAATTGCCATCACAAACACTTCCCCATTCCTGTGCCATTTTCCTTCTATTCTATTTCAGTTCACCACAATGGACTGGCTGTTCAAAATGCAGGTAAAGTATTTCATTACCATAGAGTGAACTAGATACACTGTGGGAGAAAAACTGGGCTGTGAAACAGGAAGAAACAATTAACTGAGAGATGACAATATACATCAAATAGATAATTATTACAATTTATGCATCAAATAGATAATTATTACAATTATACAGCGATACAGGTAATGGTAGAGGCAGCAGAGCAAAGTGTTCCTATTCCTCTCTGGGACAATCTGCCTTTTTCAGAGCCAAGTGATGCTGAAGCGTGCAGACAAGAGCCACTYTTACTGTGGATATGCATTTCCAAAACAAAAAGATGAGTGAAGAATCCAAACCAAAGCCTACAGACCTCTGAGCAGCAGCTGCAGAGTCACCTTGCTCTGCCAGGTTTATTTACACTCTGCCCMGACAGGGTGTCTGTGCTCTCAGCATCACAAAGGACTGAAAGTTTGAAACTTGGCCATGTGATAACAACTGCATCTCTTTGTCATCACTATGGAGAGGTAGAACTAACTAAAAAACCAAACCAAACTAAAAAACAAACCCCAGAGCATAACTTCTTATCTTCGAGATCCAATGGCTGGCACGGATGACCAGGTGTTAAATAAAGTGTGTTTATTCCCTGCAGTTTTGAGAGAAATCCTGTCAGGGTGACAGTTCACTAAAACAGGATATTACTCTTTATTTCCAGACTACACTCAAACCAGTCTTTGGGGTTTGTGGATTGAAAAGCCAGTTCTTTTCTCTGGTTTTGTTTTTTTGTTTTGTTTTTTTTTTTCTTAAGGACTTTAAGCAAGTCACTAACTACATAAATAAAGCATGAAAAGGCTAAATTGGGTCACTTTTGGGAGAGACTGAGATGTGCAGTGATATAAATACAGATTGCAGAGGTGTTCAATAATAGACAACGTAAGTACAGCAACTGTTTAAAATTAAATCTACCTGAAAATCGTAGTACTTGTTAACATGGGAAGATACACGGGGTTCTCAGCTCAAAGGAATATTGCTCATGTCACCAAAGCCCCATTTCAGAGCTGATTACTGCAAAAACTGCTGTTGATGCCCAGAAGAAGATAACGTGTAAGAAAGTAGTTTAAGAATGATCTTTTATAAATAATCCAGGTTAGACACAAGGACTTCTGTCCTCTTTCTTATCTASCTCAGTGCAAAAACTGTAACCAAACGTGTCCCAGTAATGGGGTTATAAAATCTGCTATCATCACCAAAATATTGAACCACCCTCACSTGTTGTTGGCACAACCTGCACATCCATTCGTGTTTTCCTGAGAGCTGCAGAGCAATCCTGGGTCAATCACTTCATATTGGAACACAAATGTGAAACCACTACAAGAGAGCCCATATTGTGAGCACCAATAAAATACACTGCATGATAACAAATCCAGAGAAGTCCTTCACTATCATCAGCTGAATCACTTGCTCTGGCCTTGCCTCAGTTCCCCATCTTTAGTATCTCATTGCTGAAAGGGGATAATTGCTTTGGATCTCTYCAATTACAGCTAAAGCCCTGAGAGCACTCGTGAAAATCAAATGAATTTGAGGACTGGAATCATTGTGCTTGTCCTCCCACTAGAGCAGCTTGTGTAGCTTCTCCCATCTCCTCCCATCAGGAGTTTGTAATTTCTGATTGAAAAAAACAGCTCCAAGGCTGTTTTGTAAACAGTTCCCAGCTGTCCAAACCAGTTCTGTATTTTACCATGGCCCTGCAGCAAGGGCAGAGCAACAGCTCCCAGAAGGAAACAGCATTTTCTACCAACTTTAGCACGACCCTGTGGTACCCCAATGGAAATGCTCTGGCTAAAGCACCCCAGGACAGTCGGATCACACTGTAAATCAGAAACAGTCACACCCTGAGCATCCTCTGCAGGGCAGGCAGCTCCTGCACCACTCCTACCTGAGCTCATTGTTCACTTTGTGCTGCTCCAAAAGGTGAATAAGAAATATTTCCAAATGATGCTGGAGATGGCACCTGGTTTGGTATTTATTGCTGGTGGTGGCTGAACAGGGCCCTGAGCAATTGGATCTAATGGAAGGTRTCTTTGGCCATGGCTGGAACCAAGTGATCTTTAATGTGTTTGCAGCCCCAGACATTCTATAAATTTATTATTATTTCCCTTCCCCACCAGCTGCTCCCCCTGACCATACCCTGACACAGGCACATTCTGTGCTCTCTTTAAAAAATCAGAATTTTCCTCACCTGCTATAGCCTTCTATGCCCTATCACTGAGCSTTAAAACGTGCACCTGGGAATTCAGAAAATTACAGATTCTGTTCATTCCTCACCACCTACTCTGCTCCTGGAGAATATACAGCCTTACAGCGCTGTGTGAAATCATCAGCTGTTGCTTCTATTGGCAGAAAAAGGGATACAGAAAAAGTGTCAGTGCTGCTTATTGAAYGGGAAACTATCTCAGAAAGCAAAAAGACAATTCCTCCCCTTCCACATCAAAAAAATTCTCACCTAAGGGATGACAGTTCTAAGGG